TGCAGGCAGAGCTGGGGGAGGGGCATGCAGGGTGGAGGGAACAGCAAGTGTAGAGGCTCTGAGGTAGGAATGAACTTAGCCTGTGGCTGGAGTGGCCGGAGTTGGGTGAGTGAGGGGGAGAGCGGTGGGAGACAGAGTTGGAGGTGTCAGCAGGGGCAGGCCACACAGGGCAATGGGGTCCATGGGAAGGAGTCTGAATTGCTTTCAGAGTGTAATGGGGGGGCCATAGGAGGAAGGGGAAGGTCATGTCTGATTTAATTTTAGGAAGAGCCCTCTGACTTCTGTGTGGAGAATGGACTGCTGGGGGCCAAGCATGGAACTCGGGACCGATGGGAGGAGGCTACCACAGTGGTGAATTGACATCGATTGGGATGATGGATGGAGAGAAATGAATGGGGTGAAAGATGTTTAGCCTGGATAACTGGCAGCAGCTGGCAACAGATCGAATGGAGGAAGAAGGGGGGAGGCGGGGGTGAGGGGAATCTGATACCCGTGGGGGAATATCCAGGAGGTGGCTGGACCTATCAAGGGGGCCACTGAGACATGGGAGGCTCCTCAGAGATGAGTCACGGAGGCCATGGGAGGGCGTGAGATCCTCAGGAGGTGTGCACAGAGGGAGAGGAGACCACCCAGGACCAAGCTCTAAGGAACACCAACATTTACAAATTGGGTGAAGAAAGGGGGGGTCCAAAACGGACTGAGAAAGGGGAGCTTTGTGGCTGAGGTGGAGGATGGACAGGGTTCACCTCCTAAAGGGCTTTGGTTACCAGGCTGGGGGGAGTGGGGAGCCCTGGAGGGAGTTAGAGCAGAGGAATGACAGGCCTTTAGAAAGGTATCTGTAGTGGATGCGGTGGAAGCCAGACTACAGCCAGCTTGCCCAGGGGTTAGATGTGACCCATGTGGCCTGTTGGCTGAATATGTTGACTCCAGCGCACCCCAAGAAGTCTTGGGCCTGCCAGGATGGTGACCCTCACCCCATCCCTCCACTCCAGACCACACACAGGAAAGGTCATACCATGGTGGACTCAGAGATCATCTCTTACAGCTACCCCCAGTTCCATATGGGGAACTGGGGGTGACAGTAAAAGCAGTCAGTGGAGGAGTTAGGATTAGAACCCAGCTGCTTATGGGGTGTGTGTGTGTGTGTGTGTGTGTGCATATTTTAGTAAGAAAGCCCCCTTCATATAGGTTCCTCACTTCACTCAGGCCTCTGCCCAGATATCCCTCTCCAGAGAGGCCTCCCTGGACCACTTCATCTAAAAGAATTGCTCCCCATCCTCTTACGCTGAGTATTAGTGCCCTGTAGCTGCTGTAACAGATTTCTGTGAACTGGATGGCTTAAAACAACACAATTTATTAGCTCTTGGATTTGCAGGCCAGAAGTCTGCAATCCAGGTGTCGGCAGGGCCACACTCCTTCTGAAAGCTCTAGGGGAGGATCCTTCCTTGTCTCTTCCAGCTTCTGGGGGCTCCAGGTGTTCTTTGGCTTGTGGCCGCATCACCCCAATCCCTGCCTCTGTCTTCACACGGCCTTCTCTTCTGTGTGCCAGATCTCCCTCTGCCTCTCTCTCACTCTCTTTCTTTGGCTGCGCTACGTGGCTTACGGAATCTTAGTTCCCTGACCAGGGATTGAACCCGGGTCCTCGGCTCCCTCTGCCTCTCTCTTAGAGGGACACTTGTGATTCCAGTTAGGACCCACCTGGACAATCCAGAATCATCTCCCCATCTCTAGATCCTTACCTTAATCCCACCTGCAAAAATTTTTCCATATAAGGTCACAGGTTCTAGGGATTAGAATGGGATATCAATGGCGGGGGGGCAATATTCAGCCACTCCCCCATCCCCACTTTACCTTCTTCAGAACATGTAGCCTTTCTGTGGTGTCCTAGCATGTCTGTTGGTGGTCACCACCCCTAAGGGCCAGGGCCATGTCTGTCCTGCCATCATTACATCCTCGTGCCTAGAACAGAGTCAGACACATAGCAGGGGCTCAGAAATGATTTGCCAACTGAATGCTGAAGAGAAGCATGTAGAACCCTTAGTGGAAGTCCTGGCCTGTGGAAGCCAGAGGAAGGTCACAATTCTTCGTAGTAACCGCTAGCTGGCTTCCCCGATATTGCTGGCGAAAACCATTATCCATCGTTAAATTGGTAAAGAAATAAATACCCATGGCAATGTGTGCAGTGTGTCCTGTGCAGTGTGTCACCTAGAGCTGCCCATGGGAGAGGCAGCCCAATTGCACATCAGTGGTCTTAGTTCAGAGCATATGCCTGGGACTCATGACTCGGAGCTCTCTGTGTTTCATTTTGGAAGGTTGCTTACTCCCCACCCCTCCCCCTCCCCTTCCAGCCCTCCAGAGGGCATATTGCCTACACCAGGCTTTCTGTATTTTAAAAAAGATTTTAACTGTGGTAAAATACACATAACATTTACCATTTTAACCATTTAAGTGTATAGTTCAGTGGTATTAAGGGCATTCACATTGTTGTGCAACCATCACTACCATCCATCTTCCCCAGCTAAAACCCTGTATCTGTTAACATTAACTCACCATTTCCCCCTCCCCCAGACCCTGGCAACCACCATCCTCCTTTCTGTGTCTACGAATCTGACCAGTCCAGGGACCTCATATAAGTGGAATCATACAGTATTTGTCCTTTTGTGTCTGGCTTATTTCATTGAGCATAATGTCATCAAGGTTCATCCGTGTTGTAGCATGTGTTACAATTTCCTTCCTTTTTAAGGCTGCATAATATTCCGCTGTGTGAATGGACCACATTTTGTTTATCCATTTTTTCATTGATGGATGCTTGTGTTGCTTTCACTTTTTGGCTATTGCGAATAGTTCCACCATGAACATGAGTGTACAAATATCTGTTTGAGCCCCTGCTTTCATTTCTTTTGGGGATCTACCCAGAAGTGGGACTGCTAGAACATATGGTAATTCTATGTTTAATTTTTTGAGGAACCACCATACTGTTCTCTGCAGCACGGCTGCACCATCTTACATTCACTCCTGCAATGCATAGGTTTCCAATTTCTCCACATCCTTGCCAACACTTGTTATTTTCTGACTTTCTTTCTTTAATAGTAGCCATCCTAGTGAGTCGTCATGTCATCTGCCTTGTAAGTCAGACCATTCCAATGGGGTCCTCCACATTTGGTAATGACCCATCCACCTGCTTTCCCAGGACACAGCAACCAATAGCAACTTCACCTCTGCCTGGATGATGTGGTTGGACTTTGGCTGGTGGAAGAGCCAGTGGCTTGGAGGCCCTGGGAGGGGGCACCCCTGGCAGGGGTGGGTGGGTGTTGAGGACACAGGTGAGAACCTGCAGTGCAGGGTTTCTTTAGCTCTGTTGTCCAAGGAGGTGGGAGCACAGAGGGAACCCTTGGCTCATAGGACTGAGTGGAAAAGATTGATGAGAGCAGGACCTCAGCATTTTCAGCAGTCTCCTTGGTGTTGTCTGAGATCCATGGGCCCTCAAATTGATTGAGGTTGGCCTTGGTGGGGGTTCAGGGGACCCCTGCCAGCTCCCAGCTCCCGTGAGTTGGAGGCACTGAGCTTGAATTGTCTTGAAAATGGAGAGAATGACGGGACCTGCCTTCAAGGATTGCTTTAAGATTCCATGAAATGAGGCACCACCCTGATGGTGGTGCATGGCAGGTAGTAAGTGCTCTACACCTGGTCACTGTGTTATTAGTATTATTGGTACACACCCACTCTGTTTTGGTTCCTTCAGGAGCTGACACTAGGGCAAGGATTTGAGTGCAAGTAGTTTATGTGGGAAGTGATCACAGAAAAGACGAATAAGGGAGAAGGCAGTGAACCTAAAAGAATTGAAAACAGGGACTCAAACAAATACATATACATGCATGGTCATAGCAGCACATTTCATAGTAGTCAAAAGGTGGAAACAACCCAAATGTCCAATAGATGAATGGATAAACAAAATGTGATAAATTCTTACAATGGACTATTACTCAGCAGTATAAGAAATGAAGCACTGATACATGCTACAAAGTGGATGAACCTTGAAAACATCATTCTGAGTGAAAGAAGCCACAAAAGACATGAAAAGTCGCTGTGTATGACTCCCTTCATATGAAATGTCCAGAATAGGCAAATCCGTAGAGACAGAAAAAAGATTAGTGGTTTCCAGGGGTCGGGGGGAGCGGGGAGTGGACTGCTAAATGGAGACGGGTTCTCCCTTTGGGGTGATGGAAATGTTTTGGAACTAGATAGAAGTGGTGGTTGCAGAGCATTGTGAATGTATTAATGCCACTGAATTGCTCACTTTAAAATGCTTCATTTTATATCATGTGAGTTTTACCTCAATTAAAAAAAGAAGGAAGAGGAGGAGAAGAAGAAGGAGGAGGAAGAGGAGGAGGAGGAGGGGGAGGAGGAGGAGGAGGCGGGGGAGGAGGAGGAGGAGGAGGAGGGGGAGGAGAAGGGGGAGGAGGGGGAGGAGGAGGGGGAGGAGGGGAGGAGGGGGGAGGGGGAGGGGAGGGGGAGGAGGGGGAGGAGAAGAAGAAGACGAAGAAGAAGAAAGAAGGAAGACAGGGGAAAGGAGGCAGCTAACAGAGAAGGTTTCTCTTCAGGCAGCTGAAGTTTAATCCTGCTGGGGAACCCTGGCAGTGCATGCAGAACCCACACCTCAGGGTCATTGCCCTGGAAAGAAGGAGCTGGGTTATTTATCCAGCAACACTCATCAGTCATTGATTGAGAGCTACTTTTGGCAAGAAGGAGGAGGGGGAGTTTGTTTCAATTTTCTAATACTCTGGCCACCTGTGCACGGGCAGAGACGTTGGGAGGGATGCCCTGAGAAGTCAAGGCTGAGGGCATATGGGTAGGGCCAGCTGGCTGGAGGTCACTGCTCTGGGAAGAAGCATCCTTGGTGTCTGGGACTTACATGGACTGAGTGCCTACTATGTGCCAGGCACATCACGCTTGGCTCCACAGGTCATCATGTGTATGGCACACACGTGGCCAGAGGGTGGTTCCCACCTGCACTGACCCCCACCCTGTGTGTCCCCCCAGGATGCTGCCCATCACAGAGCACCTGCTGCACCTCCTGGGACTGGAGAAGACGGCGTTCCGTTTGTATGCCCTGTCCGGGCTCCTTCTCTCCCTGCTCTTCTTCTTCTTCCGTCTGCTGCTGCAGTTCCTGAGGCTCTGCTGGCACTTCTATATCACCTGCTGCCGACTGCGCTGCTTCCCCCAGCCGCCCCGGCGCAGCTGGCTGCTGGGCCACCTGGGCATGGTGTGTGTGGCTGGGCAGGTGGGCTGGGCAGGGCAGGGAAGGTACAGATGTTCACTAAGGATGACGGACCTGCTGGCTTCCCTCATCCCCCCAAGAATCTAGTTGGAGCCATGAACAGACCCATTTTACAGGATCTGAGTGAGACTGAGGTTCAGAGAGGGCAAGCAGGAACCCAGGATCACACAGCTTGGATGAGGCAGAGCTGACTCTAATTCCAGGCTATTGCTGTAGCAACAGGTACCAGTGCTTGTGAAATCCCAGAGTGGGAGGCGGGGCACCCCTGTAGATTTTGTTGCTTCATCTACCCCACAATGTGGTTTCACACACTCTCTCTTTCTCTTTAATGCTGTGGTCCCAGGTGAGGATTCCAACCCTTTTCTTGCATTTCATTTCTTATTTCACATATATATTCCAGGTATTATTTCAGGCACTTTATAAATATTAACTCCTTTGGTCCTCTTGACAACCTTAGAAGGTAGGCCCTGTGATTATCTCCATTTTTCTCCGGAGAATACTACGGCACAGAGAGGTTAAGTAGCTGGCCTTAGGTCACAGAGCTTGTAAGTGGCAGCGTCTGGGTTTAAACCCAGGCTGTCTGGTTCCAGCGTCCCTGATCTTAGCTGTCTACCCTTGCCCCTCTAGCTTCTGGATGAGAAAGGCTGGACTTTTCTAAAAGGGCTTCAGAGGTCAGAAGAAAGAAAGTCAGACTCCTGAGGGTGCTGAGGCTTTGGGGGCCAGAGTCCAGCCCCTATTTCCCTGCTGGACTCAGCTGATCCCCCTTCCAGGCCTAGATGAAACCGAGGGACAGTTGTGGAGACCTTCCTCATGCTGAACTTGGAGAAAGACTTTGGAGAGGCACTTTGGGGCAATGGTCACCAGTGTGGACTTGCCAGTTTCTACCATGTGCCGCCTGTGTGACCCTGACAAGCTATTTCACCTCCCTGTGCCTCAGATGACTCATCTGCAACGTGGAACTATAATCATTCCTAATAATCTCGTGGGATTGTTTCAACGATTCCTGAAGTCGTGTCTGTGGCATGCTGGGCACTGAGCTTGCTACACCGCGGTGAATGTATGTGCTCAGTTCTCGGGTCCTGCGGAGACTGGAAGTAACAAGTGATTCTAGACACATTTTAGATACTGCTTGGAGTGAGTGTCTCAGAAGGAAGCAGGAGACATTTCCACTCAATAGTGCAAGAAACATTCATTTTATTATCCTCCTGCAGCCAGCACTCACCAAGTTTTGGCTGTACCTGAATCTCCTCCCTCTTTCCCATTCTCCAACCGCTGCTCAGGCCTCCTCCTCTCCTGCTGTTCCATAGTCCAGCCTCCTCCCTGGGCTCCTGCCTTTAGTCTTACCCCTCCAGTCCATCCCTCATCCTGGTCCCAGAAGGATTCCTGAATCCAGCCATGTCCCTCCCCTGCTTATACACCCTCCATGGCTCCCCACTGCTGTCCTGAGAAAGTCCCAGCTTCTCAGCTGGAGTTCAAGTCCCTTTAGACTCCAACCCCCACCCTCCTCACCTGTTCTACCATCTCCCTCTAGTCCCATAGAATGACTTTCTGCTCCTGGAACAAGCCTCTGACTTTCCACCTCCATGGCCTTTGCCGAAACTGTGCCCTCTGCCCAGAATATCCTTCTCTGTTAGATGAACTTCTACTCATTTTTCATGCCCCATATCCAATGCCCTTACTCCAGGAAGCCCTCTGGCATGGATGGTGGTCCTGGAAATAGTGGCCAGGCTCTGGTGCCATGGGAGGTTGGCCAGCACCAGTTCTGAAGTCCAGCCTTGACCCCGTGGGCCCATCCTGCCTCCCAGGCCATGAGACCTGGATGACGCCATGATCTCCCTTGGGTGTGGACAGGCTCAGGGCTGAACCTGATCAAGAAGGAGACACAGAAACCAGAGAGGAGTCATTTGTTCATTCATTCATTCATTCTACAATTGCTGGACCCTACCATTGGCCAGGCACTGGGTTAGGCTCCTTTATATCTGAGCTCTCCCAATTCTCATAGCCTATGAAATAGGGATGGACCTGCCCTATATTATGGATTCGATCTTTGGGGCTCAGAGAGGTTAGGTGACTTGCCCAAGATCACACAGCCGCTGAGGGTGGATTTGAGCTCAGATCCATATGACATTGAGCCTGAAGTGCTCTGCCTCATAGAGCATGTTGGTTAAGAGCAGACGTTTTGGAGCTTGGGGGCCTGTGTTCAAATCCTGGCTTTACCACTATGGCAGGTGATGCCAGTGTCTGCGCACATCCTCTCGGCCCATGTCTGGCTTCAGTGGGCTGACTTCTAGTTGCTATCACCCGTGTTCTAGGGCTTTCTCTAGCAGCTGAAGCCCACTCTGCACGGGCGGACTGTGAACTTCAACCTCAGCCGGTGATTATGGGACTAGGGGAGTTGGTATAAAAACACCCCAGCCCCCTCACCTTCAGGTGGGTTGACTCTGAGATGGATGTCCCCCAGAGATCCCCAATGGGACTGAGCCCCAGTTGCCCATGGGAGTAATTCCCTTGACAACTCTTTGCCGGCTGCCTTTCCTCTCTATCTCACGTCTCCTCTCCCCACCCATGTTTCTGGGGATCACCCCCCAAATAAACTGCTTTCCCTAGAACCCTTGTCTCAGGTCCTGCTTCTAGGGGAGCCCAAACCAGGACTTTACTCACCTGTAACTTAAGACAAATCATTTGACCCTTCGGAGTAAAGAAAAATGGGGAAAATAGTAGCAACTACGTCATAGTGTTCTTGTGTGGGTTGAATGCATGAATATCTGAAAACTGCCCACAGCAGCACCCAACTGCAAGCATGTGTACGTGTTAAAGAGAACAATACTAGTAATATTTTATTACGAACGTAGAGGTACTAGATTAAGTGCCAACCGTTATCATTATTGTGTTTACTCTTACTGCTTTTATTTCTTGAACACCCGCCGTGTGTCAGGCCCTGTGCTGGGGCTCTTCCACTTTGCTATTCCGTGAATCCTCTCAACTACCCTCAGAAGGGGAGTTGACTTTTCCCCCAGTTTTCAGATGAGGGAATGGAGGCTCAGTGAGGTGCAGCCACCTGCCCACAATCATACAGCTCTTCCTGGCTTGTTTTGAGGGCCGGGGAGGTGGTGGGAGGGAAGGGCTGGGGGAAGCCAGGGCTGGACACCTTCTCACTACCCTTCTCTACCACCCTCTGCAGTATCTCCCGAATGAGACGGGCCTCCAAGATGAGAAGAAGGTGCTGGACAGCATGCACCATGTGATCCTGGTGTGGATAGGACCTGTCCTGCCACTGTTGGTTCTGGTGCACCCTGACTACATCAAGCCCCTGGTGGGCGCCTCAGGTAGGTGGGCTGGGCCTCTGAGTGATGAGTAAACCCTCAACTCCCAGAGCCTACCTGGGTTTCTAGGCAGGTGGGCTATCCAGAAGAAGGGCCGTTTGAAGGATGAATAGGAGTTTACCAAAGCTACGAGGGCAATACAGATAATGGAAACAGCATGGGAAAAGGCGTGACAATAACATTCCCAGGAACTTTTAGAGAATGTTCACCTCTCAGAGTCAGAGCAGACATGTTCGGATAGGCAGTTGTTTGCCCAAGCTTTTGTTAAATGGTTGTTGCTCAACCATGGCACTCCTATCATTTGGGTTCTGACACTCCCACTGTGGCTATCGCAGCCTTCAGGCTGGCCCTGACTGGCAGAGAGGGAGAGGTAGAAGGATTGCTTCTCCCTTCTGCCATCCACACCTATTTCAAGGTGCAGGATTCCCAAGTGTGCTTGGCAAGCTCTTGCTCAGGCTTCAACATGCAGTTCTAATGGCCTTCTCCTCCAGGAAGCCTTCTTTGATTCCCCCAGACAGACCATAGGTCTCTCCTCTAGACTCTCCCATTCTCACTCCTAACCATTTAGCGCTGAATGTGTCTGTGCCTAGCACTATCTTCCTCATAAGAGGGGCTCTGGGCCCTCAGGGAGGCCTCGCATGTACCTGGGCATCTCCAGAGGCATAAGGGGACATTTGAGAGAGGAAGGATGGGAAATAAAGAGCTCCAGGAATTTTAGGACCTCTGGCCTCAGCTTTGGTCTCTGCAAACACACGTATGGAGACCACCTTCAAGGCTGCCCCCTGAGCTATGAAGGAGGAAGGGACTGCCATCCTTCCCTTTCCCAGCTCTGCCCTCCTCATGCCTCAGTGTCCCTCATTATTGCATTTGTAAGGGAATGACCATCCCCAATGAACAAAGAGGGAAACCTGGACGCTGGGAAGGGTAACTCTTCCAAGGGATGGGCACCAAGTTGTGGAAAGAGTCCTGGGCCAGGACTTGGGTGGGCTGGGTTTGAATCCAGGCTGGAGCCTGTACTTGCTGTGTGACCCAGCAATTCATCTAGCTTCTCAGGGCTTCAGTTTCCGATCTGTAAAATAGGGTGGTTGTGAAGAGTCAGTAATATAGTGTGGGTTGGTGCTGATAAAGGTTTTCTCTCTTCTGCCTTTTTAATATCTTTTTTCTTTCTTTCTTTCCCCCTCCCTCCCCTCTCCACCAGCTCAGAGCATCTGTTTTCTGAGTGTCACCCTGCATGGTTATGAGACTCCAAGCAGACCAGGGAGTAGAGCCCCCATCATAAGCTTGGCAATTTAGTAGATGCTCAGGCCTCTTCTTCTCCTCTCCCCTGCCCTCTCTCAGGACAGGCAGGATATCTAGTGCCTCCTCCACTGGAGGAGCTGGATGGTAGACTCCAGCTTGGAGAGGGTGGGGCTGTGTGAGTCAGGAGGCATCAGGCCTCCCGGCCCCAAGGTGTCCGGGCCCCTCCATGCCTGTCTGCCTGAGATTGGACAGACCTGGTCCTAAGTCGTAAATTCCATCCCCTATTGGGGCCTCCTTGGGACCACATCTCGGGGGTTTGCTCCTCTAGGCTTAAACCCACATAGCTGATGGGCCCTGAGAAAGGCATGGCTCTTCTTAGAACCTCTGTTTCTTCATCTTTGAAGGGGCATTTGGGATATACAGAGAAAGTAGATGAGAATGCTTTATAGAAGACAAGGCAGGATATACAGGCATTTAATTGTAGCTTGTTTTCATATATTCATTTTAAAAATTGAGCGGAAATCACATACCATATAATTACTTATTTTAAAGTGTAAGGTGTTTAGTGTGTTCACAGTGTTGTGCAACTGTCACCTCTCCCTAGTTTCAAAACCTTTTCATCGCCCCATAAAACACTTTGTAGCCATTAAGTTATCACTTACCATTCCCCCTTCTCTTCATCCAGTGGTAAATACTTTCTGTCCCCATGGATTTTCCTTTTCTGGGTATAGCATAGGAAAGGAATGATACAAAATGTGGTCCTTTGCAGCTGACTTTCACTCAGAATAGTTTTTGAGGTTCATCCTCATTGTAGCAATGATCAGGACCTCATTCTTTTTTAAGGCTGAGCAATATTTCATTGTATGGATGTACGGATATACCACATTTGCTTATCCATTCATCTGCTGACATACATTTGGGTTGTTTCTACCTTTTGGCTGTGATGAATAATGGTGCTATGAACATGTGTGTACAAGTTTTGGACATATATTTTCATTTCTCTTGGGTAGGTACCTAGTTGTAGAATTGTGGGGTCACATGGGAACTCTATGTCTAACTTTTCAAGGAACCACCAAACTGTTTTCCATGGTGTCTGTGCACTCATTTTTCCCTAGTAGGGTCCTGCTGTGAGCTGGGGACCCAGCTATTCATCTCACAAGTTCTTGACACAACTGAGCAATAATTATAGTCACAGTAGTAAAAATAGCCAACAGTTGGTTAGTTATTCATTTATGTGCATGAATATTTAATGAGCACTTACTGTGTGCCAGGAGCACATTAGTTCATTGAGTTTTTGTAGGGTTGCCATGAGGTAGGCAAGATTGTTCGATTTTCTTGCCCAAGTTTACACAACCAGTTAAGGCTGGGATTTGAACCCAGACCTGGCCAGCCCAGAGGTCAAGCTCTCAATCACAGTAATATGAAGCTTCCTGCTGGGCACTTGTGGGGGCTTTTCTTATATGATCTTCTTCAGGGTGGATGTTACCATCTCCTTGTTACTGGAGGGGAAAGTGATGGGATAGGCAGCCTGGACACAGGCTCTCCTGGCATTGAGTGCTGAGGGTTGGATTAGAGGGACCTGAGGATGACAGAGCAAGGGTTTCGCTGAAGAGAAGGTTTGGAGAAGGTTTCCTGGAGGAGGCATCAGTGAAACTGGGCTTTGAAGGATGCATGGGAGTTTGCCTGATGAGAGGTCCCAGGTAGAGGGTCCTAAGTGCAAAAGTGCAGATGTGTGAAAATACCAGGGGAATTCAGGTGACTTGGGGTGTCTGGAGTGAAGATGACATGTGGGGAGAAGTAGGAAATGAGACAGGAGCTGGACTCAGAGCACCTATGTACAAAGTGAAGGAGCTTGTGTTTTATCTTGGGGGTGTTAGGGAGCCATGGGAGGTGTTTGAGCAGGATAGCCATTGGACAAGTTTGTGTGTCAGAAAGACCCCTGAAGGGCCTAGCGTGGAGTCCAGAGCCCAGAGAGGAGAGGCGTGACTAGACTCCCACCTCCTCCTCCAAAGTTGCCTCTTCCTGGAAGTCTGCCTTGACTTCTAGTAGCCCTTTCTCTGTGCCTCCCTCTGCTCCTGGCACACATTCTACCTTCTTACTAATTACATGGCATGTCTCTGCTTCCCTTTCCCACTACACCCAGAGCTCCTCCAGGCAGGGTGTGGAGCTGAGCCATCTCTGGGGCCCCAGCATGGGTTGGGCACAGAAAGGTGGCAGCAGAGGTATGTAGAATGGGAGAACGAGTGGACAGATGATTGTGCATACAATTGGCCAATGCCTGGGGAGTGTAGGTGGCTGAATCATATCTCAGGTAAAAGTGACATTACTTGAGTTTCAGGTACTTCCTTCCTGGGCCCTGCCCATTCTGTCCCAGATCTATTCAGCACATAGAAAGGGAATGCATTCACTCATCTATCCACCCACCCACCCACCCATCATCCATCCATGTATCCATTCATCCATCCATCCATCCAACCATCCAACCATCCATCCAACTACCCATTGATAGTTCTCATTCATTCATCCTTTGATTGGTTAATTCATTCATACAATAAAAATTTATTTAGCACCAATATGTTAGTGATCAACAAGGTCCCTCCCTTCAAAGGGCTTGTAACTGGATGGATACAATCCAGAGTGATTGGTGGGAGAGGGAATGGCATCCAAGCAGAGACTGGAAGAATGAGGAAAGAGTGTTGGAGGCAGAGAGGACGCCTGGTGGAAAGACTCAGAACAGAGAGGGAACACAGCTTTTCAAGGACCTGAGAAAAGTTCTATGATGTTAGCAAGTTGGGTGTGTGTGGGAAGGGGTGGCTGTGGTGGAGGAGAGAGGTGTTCTGAGAATGGTCTGGACTGGGATACGTCATTCAAGGCTTTGTAAATGGGCTGAGCAGCTGTGCTTGAGGCTGATGGGGGTGTGGGCAGAAAAGGACATGGTCAGATCTAGAGTCAAGTAAGATCCCCCTGGGTCTAAGGTACAGGACAGACTGGAAAGGGCGAGGCTGGAGGCTGGGAGCACAGGAGGTGTAATTCAGATGGCCTGAGTTGGCAGAAAAGAGGGGGTGGATTAGGAGAAGAATCAGGTGAAGAAAGCCATACTGGAGAGAAAGCACAGCCTGGGCAAAGGTTTGGAAGTGAGAGACAACGTGTGGGGTTATTTGGTGTATGCTGAAGGATGAGATGGGAGAGGCATACAGCAGCAAGGTAGGGCAGGGCCCTCAGTGCTAGCCTGAGCTTGACCTTTTTTCCAAAGGTTTTAGGGAGCCATGGGAGGTGTTTGAGCAGGGAAGGCTCATGTTCAGATCAACATGTTATAAGGCTCTCTTTGGGGCAGGTGTGGAGGATTGGACTGGAGGAGTGACGTGGGAGGTGAGAGCCCAAGGTGGAGGCCCAAGGAGGTCATAAGCAGAGGTCAAGGGTCAGAACTCTGTTTTGAGACATCATCACCTCTTCTCTCTCCACAGCTGCCGTTGCCCCCAAGGATGACCTTTTCTATGGCTTTCTGAAACCTTGGCTGGGTGAGCTTGACACTGGGTAGCCTGGAGCTGGGGCTTCAGGAAAGAGGGGGCAGGGTGTGGGGTTTGTTGGTGAGGTCCTTAACCTTGGTCTTCTGGGTCCAGGAGATGGGCTGTTGCTCAGCAAAGGGGACAAGTGGAGTCGGCACCGCCGCCTGCTGACACCTGCCTTCCACTTTGACATACTGAAGCCCTACATGAAGATCTTCAACCAGTGCGCCGATATCATGCATGTGAGTCCCAAGGTTTCTTGGGAAGAGGGTATCCTGGAAGTGAGGCTGGTCCAGGCTCCAGCTCACGGGCAAACCACGTGATGCCAGGAAGCCTCACTTCCTTTATCTATAAAGTAGTCTTGTAGTGAACTTGCCGCTGGGTCATTGTCAGCCCGGCTGAAGGTCTGTGGTCTCCGTACCCATTTGCCACGTGTCTTTCTCTTCCAGGCTAAATGGCAGCGCTTGGCAGAGGGCTCAGAAGTCTCCCTTGACATGTTTGAGCATGTCAGCCTCATGACCCTGGACACTCTTCAGAAATGTGTCTTCAGCTACAGCAGCAACTGCCAGGAGTGAGTGTGGCCTCCCTGGGGAACATAGAGTCAGTTGCTCCAGGGGCGAGGTGATGAGAGGAAAAAGGAAACTCTTAGCTGTTAGGCACTCCTGCGCGGCTGGTGCTCTGTCACTGACAGGCTATGTGGTTCTGGGAAACTGACATCACCTCTCTGAGCCTGTTTCCTCATTCCCCAAATGCACATCTCCATCCCATCCCCACAGTCATCGCCTGAGAATTATAGGGGATAATGTGAGTCAATAGCTTGGCATACAGTAGGTGCTCGGTAGACGCTAGTTTCACTCATTCCTCCACAGAAGGTACGTGGTCTTTGGAAAGACCCTCCCCACACTCTCTGAGCCTCAGTTTCTTTGTGAAATAGGGATGACAATCCCTGACCTTCTGAGAGACGTTTAAAGCATAAAATGATATAGCACTGCCCTGGCACATGATGGATGTCGAGTGAATATTTGTTGAATGAATGAAATAACCATAGCTCTGGTTCATTCATTCATTCATCAAATATTTGTTGTGTACCTACTACGTGCCTGGCACTATGCTAGCCACTGGGGATATGGTGGTAAGCACTAAGCCCAATTCCTTGGAGCTTACAGTCTAAGTGGGGATATAAGGAATAAGGGACATAATGCCTGTCAAGTTTGTAGCACATAGTAGGTCCTCAATAACAAGCTGCTGACTTTGTTACTCAGGGCCTTCTAGTGGTATTGTTTCCGTTGGGTAAGGTGGAGATGGCCTTAGTAATTAATTCGTTAATTGATCCAAGAAATATTTATTGAGTGCCTACTGTGTGCCAGCTCTAGAGTAGAATACAGTGGTCAACAAAACAGATGAGGTCTTGCTCACCTGGAACTTACATTTTAGTGGGAAGACAGGCAGTAACCATGAACAAGTAAACAAGAAAATGCCAGTTGGTGATTAGTGCATGAAAACAACAAGCATGCTTCAGAACTAAGGACAGCTCTTTGCAATCCTGCCCCCTGCAATTTAGTTTTTCTTTCTTTTTTTTTTTAATAAGAACTTTACTGAGATGTAATTGACATACCATACAATTCACCCATTTAAAGTATACAACCAATGGTTTCTAGTATATTCACAGAGTTGTGCAACCATCACCATAATCAATTTTAGAATATTTTCACCCAAAAGAAACCCTGTACATTTTAGCACTCATCTCCCACTTCCCACTTCCCTTCCAGATCTAGGCAATAACTAATCTTCCTTCTGTCTCTATAGATTTGTCTTTTATGGAAATTTCATATAGATGGAATTACACAGACTTCTGTTTCTGGTTTCTTTCAGTCAACATATTGTTTTCAGATTCAACCATGCTGTAGTTGAATTATCAATAATTCGTTTTAAAAATTGCTGAATAATATTCCATTTACCACGTAATACCACGTTTTGCTTATCCAGTCACCTGTTTATAGACATTAAGGTTGTTTCCATTTTTTGGCTATTATGAGCAATGCTGCTATAAACATTTGTGTACAAGGTTTTGTGTGAACGTTTTAAATTCTCTTGAGTATATACCTAAGAGTAAAATTACTGGGTTATACGATAATTCTATGTTTAACCTCTTTTGGAACTGCCAGACTTTTTCCATAAGCTGGTTGCACCATTTTACATTCCTTCCAGCAGTATGTGAGGGCTCCAGTTTCTCCACACCCTCATCAACACTTGCTATTATCTGTCTTTTTGATTATAGCCATCCAGTTGGGGTAAAGCGGTATCTCACTGTAGTTTTTTTTTGCATTTCCCTAATGGCCAATGCTTTTAAGCATCTTTTCATATGCTTGTTGCCCAGTTGTATGTCTTCTTTGGAGAAATATCTATTATATTCTTTCCCCATTTTAAAATCGGGTTATTTGTCTTTTTTATTGTTGAGTTTTAAGAGTGCTTTATATATTTTAGATGCAAGCTTCTCATCAGGTATATGATTGGCCAATATTTTCTCCCGCTCTGTGGATTGTAGCCATTTAATTTTAGTGATGCTACCTCTATTTAGAAGTCCTCATCCCTCTTTGGGCCTGTTTTAAAAATGTACCTAGAAACAGATCAAGAAAAATTGCCATGGAAAAGACAGTGTGTTACTTACTGCTCCCAAGATGAGGGGGCATGCCACACCACACAGAGCCACATGGGGAAGCCCCAGAAGAAAGCATGGCCAAAACATTTTTGGAGGTGTTCTACGGGAAGCATTGAGAAAGGCAGGGTATGTAGGCTTAAGATTGGCTAGTTTGAATAATTTCAGCAGGCTCTGGGGCACAGGGGTGCCCCCAAGTTATCCAGTGCCTGGCCCTGGGGTGATTAAGGCAGGGGGATAGTGGCTCCACCCAATAATGTTTGGAGTATGGACTCTGGATTGGCTGGTTTGCAAAAGAAAGGCATGCTCCTGGGTGAGTCATTTGCAATCTCTAAGAAATGGCTAGTCCTGGGAGGGGTGGTATCTCTCCAGTCAGTGAGGCCCCAGATGGCAGAGCATCAAGTATACAAAGAAATAAGGAAATAAAGTGAATTCAGGGCCTCTCTTTGTAACCTGCCCTTTGGGAGAGGAAGCTTGTCTTAGGGTACGGGGCTTTGCTCATGGCCTTTCTTCTCCCTGGCAGGAAGATGACTGATTACATCTCGGCCATCATTGAGCTGAGCGCACTGGTGGTCCGGCGTCAGTATCGCCTGCACCACCACATTGACTTCATCTATTACCGTACAGCAGACGGACGGCGTTTCCGGCAGGCCTGTGACACCGTGCATCACTTCACCACGGAGGTCATCCAGGAGCGGCGGCGGGCGCTACACCAGCTGGGGGCTGAGGCCTGGCTTAAGGCCAAGCAGGGCAAGACCTTGGACTTCATAGATGTGCTGCTCCTGGCCAGGGTGAGGCTGGACCCTGGAGGGTGGAGCTCTGCCCAGGACAGCCTCCTCATGAGTTGCAGCAATTGTGCAAAATGATACACATCCAAACTTACATGGATTTAGAATGCAGGCAGATGCAAAACACGTAAGACTGTATTCGTTCGTTAGCATTGCCGTAAAAAAGCGCCACACACTGGGTGGCTTAAATGACAGAAATAAATTTTCTCAGTGTTGGTTTCTTCTGAGGCCTCTCTCCTTGGCTTGTAGCTGGCTGTCTTCACCTGTGTTTTCACATTGTCTTCCCTCTGTGCATGTCTGTGTCTTCATCTCCTCTTCTTATAAGGACACCAGTCATACTGGATTAGAGCCCACCCTAATGACCTCATTGTAACTTAATCACCTCTGCAAAAGGCTTATCTCCAAATTAGGTCACATTCTGAGGTACTGGGGGTTAGGATTTCAACTTAAGGGTTCTGGGGTGGGGCTGGGGAGGGACAGAATTCAGTTCACAATACAAAGATGCAATACAAGACCTTGAAGAAATGTGACACTGGCAGAGATAGGTGGTCACCTATTTGTGGTGCTTCTGTGGAGTTTCTGAGCAGCACCTGGGTTCTGGATTCAGACAGTCCTGGATTCCGGTTCGATAATAGCTCTGCTGCTTCATGGATGTTTGACCTTAGTCATCTAAGTCTTCCCTCTGAGCCTCAGTTTCCTCATTTACAGCATGATGATCGTAAGACCTGATCACAAGATGGTTGTCAGGCATCTGGCAGGATGCTTGGCGCTAGGAGCTGCTGAAGAAATACAAAGTCCCTTCTTCCTCTTATCTTTGGCTCTCTTTCCATCTTTCTTAGACAAGTTGCATACATCTATCTGCCTGGAATCCTTTCCCCTGCAGCTTGGCTTAAGATAAAGAAGGGGGTGTCTTGACTTTGGAAGAACTCCTAGGATGTGGCGGGTGGGATGAAGTGAGCTGAGCAGAGTCTGCTGCCCATTCCAGGATGAAGATGGGAAGGAACTGTCAGATGAGGACATCCGAGCTGAGGCAGACACCTTCATGTTTGAAGGTGAGGACATGGGGTGTGGCTGGGGAAGGATGGGAAGGGGCCCCATTGTCTGAATACAGCATCTCCTCTATCTTTGGGCAGCATCCATTTAAGCTCCTTACCTGCCTGCAGGTCATGACACGACATCCAGCGGGCTCTCGTGGGTGCTGTTCAACTTGGCCAAGTACCCAGAGTACCAGGAGAAGTGCCGGGAAGAGATCCAGGAAGTCATGAAAGGTCGGGAGCTGGAGGAACTGGAGTGGTTAGTCTGGGGTCATGGGGGTAGTGGGGGCAGGTTGAGTTCAAAGCCTTGAGTATAAATCTCTCTGCTCTACCACTTACTGACTGTCTAACCTCAGACAAGTCACTTAAGCTTCTTGAATTTCAACTTCTTCAACTGTAAATTGGGGATGACAAGTCACGCGTATGCCTACCTCATAATGCAGGAGTTAAGAGTGTCTTAGTCAGCAATGGTTGCAATAATGCTGCCTAACAAACAGCCCCCTAAGTTCAGTGGTTTGCAGCAAGCATTTATTTATTGCTCTTGTCTGCACATATTTCTTGCTCTTGTCTGCATATTACTCTTGTTACTCGGGGCTGCACTGAGTTGAGTGGAGATGCTTCCAAGCTTAGGTTTGGGTTCAGGTTTTTTCCACGTCTCCTCATTTTTCATGGACCAGCAGCCACACTGGGCATGTTATCCTCAAGACAGACTCCAGAAGCACAAAGAACCACACAACTTAAAACCTCTGCTTGCATTGTAACATTCCATTAGCTAAAGCAAGTCATCTAGGGCTTCCCTGGTGGCGCAGTGGTTGAGAGTCCGCCTGCCGATGCAGGGGACACGGGTTCGTGCCCCGGTCCGGGAGGATCCCACATGCCGCGGAGCGGCTGGGCCCGTGAGCCATGGCCGCTGAGCCTTTACGTCCGGAGCCTGTGCTCCGCAACGGGAGAGGCCACAACAGTGAGAGGCCCGCATACCGCAAAAAAAAAAAAGCAAGTCATCTGGCCAATCCCACCATGAATGGGGTGGGACATATGCTCCAGCCATCCGAGCAGAAGATACTCAGAATCACATGGCAAAGGGCATAGTGTAAAATTCCAATGTGGGGGGAAGTGTAAGAATCAGGAATAATAATCCGATTTACTTCAGATGTGTGCTGTGTGGAGCTGATTCTGGGTGATGCAAAGAAAACACAGCATTGAACAGTGAGAAAGTTCCTTTTGGTTCATTGTCAGCCATTTGGATTATGACCTCAGGGAGACACTTTCAGTTGGTACCATTGTGTCTTTAACACCTTGCTAATCTTTGCTAATCTGCCTTTTTAACAAAGGGAGAAGGTACCTCAGGTTCTGAGAATTGGGCAGGAGGTGGTATCTAGCCAGAATTTAACACCTGTCTTGTTTTCCCAGTGGTGTTTATATTTATGGATACCTTTATGCCAGGCATGCCATTTGCCCTTTATGGTAGCAACAGAGAGTTTCTATGAAAGATAACCTGTTAGTGTAAAGAAAACAATCTAGATCATTAACCAAGGGTTATAATTAATCCAGTTTTTTTTTGCCCTGAATTCCAAAGGAAAAAAAAACTAATGTACTGTAAGAAGAGGATGTATGGGTTTATAAATACTGAAATTGATCTATACAGGCTGGTAAATCGCTGCTACCCCAGGTCCCCCTGGCTGTCCTGGCACCTCCCCAGGGATGCCCCCTGACCTCCACATAATTCGTCAGTTAAAGGGTTAATGCTGGGCTCACAGACGTCCGGCTAGTGCTGCTGTGATTGGTCAGGGGTCAGATATTTTACTTGCTGAGGGTTAGAGGTGTGTGCAGGGCACAACTGCAAATGCCTGAAGTTGGGGCAAGTCTGAGATCCTGGACTGGTTTCCTGCAGCTGCTCCTAATTGCCTGTGCACATGTGTGTGTATATGTGTCTGGGGAAGGGAGTGGCACCATGGCCTGGACCCTAGTTACCCACTGTTCCACATTCCCCAGGGATGACCTAACCCAACTATCCTTCACCACCCTGTGCATCAAGGAGAGCCTCCGCCAGTTCCCACCTGTGACCCTGATCTCCCGCCGCTGCACGGAGGACATTAAGCTCCCAGATGGGCGCATCATCCCCAAAGGTGCCCTCTATGTGCTCTCTGCTGCCTGCCTGCTCTGTTGCCTATGGGGTCCTGGCCATGCCTGCCCCAGGTGCACCGTCCCTGTAGGCAGTTTATAGCCTGTTGCTTCTGGGGTGATGGGGGAGACTCAGTTGTGTGTGCTGGGGAGATAGAGGTTGGTGAGTCCAAGCAGAAAGGAAGGAGTGGGTGTGGCAGGGTGGGTCCTGTGAGGGTGCAGGTAGGGAAGGGTTGATTTCATTCCGTTGCCAGATACTCCCTGGAGACCAGGTCCTGTCCTGGGTGGTGCTGGGCATCTAGAGAAGCCTCATCCCCAGGCCCAAGCTTTGAGTACCACCCAGACTGGGGAAGATACATCAGGGCACAGACATTCCCAGACACATGGGGTGAGGAATGGGCTAAGGGGAGGGACAGAGGCTGGAGCAGCCCCAAATAAGGAGCGATGGCTGTATCTGGGGGTGGAATGCAGGGAGATAGGTGTATCTGGGAGGGAATGCAGGGAGGGCTGCCTGGAAGAGGTAACGTGAGAGGTGAGGCTTGCGGGTTGGAAATGAGAGCATGTTTATGGAGCAGAGCCTCAGGGTGCAGACAGTGAAAGGCCTTGAATGCCAGGTTGAGGCACTTGAACTTGATCCTCAGGGCAGTAGGGAGCCATGGGAGGTATTTGAGCTGAGGAGGAGCAATGTCAGATATATGAGTGAGAAAGATCCCTGTGTGGCCAGGATGGCAGCTAGAAAGATGGTGATGGGAACCTCTTATGGAGAAGCAGGGGGAGTGGATGGGGCAGCAGAATGTTTAAGGAAAGGATGGGAAGGAAAGGGTGGCAGATGGCTTGTGTGAATAGCATGGCTCCAGGGAGAGCCAGGGAGGCGTAGGTCTCCAGAGGAGGTCCTGGTTTCCCTCGGTTCCACTGACCCAATGACCCCACCCCTCCCCACAGGAATCATCTGCCTAGTCAGCATCTATGGGACCCACCATAACCCTACAGTGTGGCCTGACTCCAAGGTGAGCTCCTGCCCCAACCCTCTCTTCTCTCAGCTTCTTTCTTCTCAGAAGGGGCAGTCCTTGGTCAGCAAGGCCTCCCCTCCCCTCCCCTCCTCCCCAGGGAGCCAGATGGCAGGGCTGGGTGTAGGGCTTGAGTCCTCCTCCCATTTATTCACCCATTCACTCTTAATTCATTACATCAGCAAATCTTTATGGAGCATCTCCCGTGTGTCAGACCCAGTGCTGGGCACTGAGGCCAGAGGAAGATACTGTCTTTGCTCTCACGGAGCTCACAGTGAAGTGCAGAGGAATAAAATAAGCTGATAAACAAGATCATTTTGGATATTGATAAATGCGCAAAGGAAACAAAACTGGAGTGGGTCGGGGGGTGGGGGAGAGAACTTTAGCTCACACGGTGCGGAAAGGCCTTACCAAAGAAGAGATGTTTGAGCTGAAACTGAAAACATTCACACTGAAAAGTGAGGAGCAGGGAAAAGTGTGTTCCACATGAAGGAAACAGCAAGTGCAAAGGCCCTGTGGTGGGAATGGGAAGGAGACAGGTGGGGCTGGCTTGTAATGAGGTTCTCTCTGTCCTGCTGGTCTGGTCCCCAGAGGCTGAGGGCGGGAACCAGGTTGGGATGGCTGAACCAGCCCTCAGGCTCACCCCCAGTCTGCTCTTGCCTAGGTGTACAACCCCTATCGCTTTGACCCGGACAACCCACAGCAGCGCTCCCCGCTGGCTTACATGCCCTTCTCTGCAGGACCCAGGTAACTTATATTTTCCCCAGTCCAGGTGAAGCGTAGGAGGAACATCGAGGTCAGTGGAAGATCAGGGATGCACCCATCAGGAGCAGAAACCACGTCCACTCGGGTGTCCCCGCCAATCCGGTACCCTTTTTGTGCCCTCAATACACCAGAAAGCCCCCAAATCAGACTCTGCTATATCATCCATGGGTACCAACTATCTACTGTATGCCAGGCCCTGAGTTCTGGGCTCACATGCTCCTAATGGCTCTATGATGCCTTTGTCTGGAAGTTGAGGTTCAGAGGGGGAGGTCATTTACCACATCCCAGGGACCCCGCACACACAGAGGCTGGGCCTGAGCTCCCTGTTCCCTGTCCTTCAGGAACTGCATCGGACAGAGCTTCGCCATGGCTGAGATGCGCGTGGCCGTGGCGCTGACGCTGCTGCGCTTCCGCCTGAGCGTGGACCGAACGCGCAAGGTGCGGCGGAAGCCCGAGCTCATTCTGCGCACAGAGGATGGCATTTGGCTCAAGGTGGAGCCGCTGCCTCCGCGGGCCTGCGGGTCGGCGCGCCCCTGAGGATCCCCCGGGGGCCCAAGCCCCGCCCAGAGAGGCCCAGGTTCCGCCCCCGAGGGCCCAGGCCCCGCCCTCAAGATCCTGAGGGCATAGACCACGCCCGTCGAAGTCCAGGCTCATTAAGCAGCCTGGTGGCGCAGGTCACACCCACTTAAGGCAAGGCTCCGCCCCTGGAGGGTCTGATCCCGCCCCCTGAGGTCCAGGTCCCGACCGCTGAATGCCAGTTTCTGCCCTCTTGTTTCAAGGACCAGGATTGGCCACTCCCCTCGGGTTTAGGCCCCGCCCCAGCATCCTTCGGATTCAGGCCTTCAGGCTCCGCCCATTGAGCCTTCCAAGGACCTAAGACCTGACACCTAAGGCCTCCGGGATACAAGCCCAGTCTACTTCAGATCCCGGCTGGCTTTTAAACTGAGGATTTGAGAACTGGAGCCTGAGATCAGAACCTTGAACCGAACATCACCTTCTTGAGGCCCCCAGCTCATGTGGATAACTCCTCAGGAATTGGGTTGCATCCCAGGGCCCACGCTGTTTGTTGTTGATTTGTAAACCCAGACTCTCCCTTTCAAGCTCCTTCCTTCCTCCCTTGCTCAAAGGCCCTTTGCTGAGTGTCCTGATTTTTGCAGAATAAAAGCAAGGGATGCAGACATCCCCCATCATCCATCCCCTAGCCAGGTCAGATCCTTACACCTGGATTCCAGCAAGGAAATGAGGGGTCCTGGACAGTTGGGAAGCTGTGGGCTAGGAGGCTGGGAAGCCATTTGTCTTCGGACATAAACTCAGACTTTTGGGGACAGTTTGTGCATTCATTTATTTCAACATACTGCATAGTAAGTGTCTGCTGGCACTGGGCCAGGAGCACAACACCAGGCAAATTTCTGCCCTCAGGAGGTTGGGCGGGGGCATATGTTGGACAAATAATTCCATGGGTAAAATTATTTGCGACCTGTGACAAGAGAGGCCTTGGTGCTGCACAAGCGTAATGGGGGTGGAGGGTGGCTCAAGGAAAACTACTCTGATGCTGAAGTTGGAGTAAAAGTTGAGTGGTGACAAGAGAGAAAAGAGCATTCCAGGCAGCAGGAACAGCATCTGCAAATGTCCTGAGGTGGGAGAGAGTGTGGTATGCTTGTGGAACTCACAAGGGGCCAGGGTGGCTGGATCTGGGGAGTGGGGGCAGAGTGGAGGAATGGTGCGCAGGGCCCAACAGCACAAGAACTGTGGGCCGCATCACAGTTCAGGCTTTATGCAGAGGGTAATAGGGAGCTATAGAGTGTGTGTGAGCAGGGGCAGGGGAGGTTATGGTCAGATCTGGGCTGTCAGGGAGGTGGCTGGGAAAGGGTGTACAGGGGGCTGGAAACTCAGGGAAGAGAGAGGCTGAGTTTGTGGGGAGAGGAGGAGTGACTATCTAGCTGTGAGGGCTGAGGGGAGGGAGGAGGTAAGGGTGATTGCCAAGTCTTTGACTGGAGGAGTAGTGCCTGATATGGTGCTATAGAAGGTGGGCCAATGACAATAATCATATAATAATCATATTAATTCATCAACTATTTTTTGAGCATCTGCTGTGAGCCAGGCAGTGTTTGAATCCTTGCGTCCTTGACATTCTAGAGGGGGAAACAGATGACAAGTGATAAATAAGCAAATAAATAAGTTCACACAGCCTTGGAGGTCATTGAAAGGATTTTGAGTTTTATTGTGACAGAAGTGGGGAGCCATGGAGGGTTCTGAGCAAAGGAGGGACAAGATTTGTCTTACAGTCTTGGGTTGCTACATTGAATAGAGACTGTGGCAAGGATGGGATGAGGGAGATCAGATTGGTGGGGGGGTGATGTGAGATGATGGTGCCTCTACCCAAGCTGGGAGCTGTAGAGGTGCAAAGGGGTGGTTGGATTATGATGAGAAATGGTTGTTTCATGAAGGTAGTGCTGGCAGGTCTGCAGATGGTTGGAATGTGGGGTTTGGGAGGATGGGAGGACCCCATGTTTGGGTCTGAGCACCTGGAAAGATGGAAACACTATCAGTTGAGATGGAGAACCCCAAATGGAGTAAGTGGTGTTTTTTTTTTTTTGGTGGGTGGGGGGAGTGAGGTGGGGGTGAGATCAGCCTGTTAGTTTGAGCCAGGAGGAGCTGGAGATGTCAGGCTGCCGGGTGGATAGATGGGTCCTGAACTTGGGAGAGAGTTCAGGGCTGGTGATGTACATCTGGGGAGGCTCAGTGTTTACATGTTGTTTTAAAAGCCTCAGGACTGGGTGAGATCATCTGGGGTGTGTGTGTGTGTGTGTGTGTGTGTGTGTGTGTGTGTGTGTGTGTATACAGAGGAGGGGTTTAAGGACCAAGCCCCAGGGGTCTCCAGAGTTAATAATGAGATATGAATCGATTGAATGCTTCCTGTGTGCCCTTCCCAGATATTCTCATTTAATTCTCAAGGGAACTCTTATCATGAAATGGGTACTGTCACTATCTCATTTAACAGAGGGGGAAACTGAGTTCCCCACAGTGAAATGACTCACCTAAGGTCCTACAGCGATATCCTTGGGACCTCAGAGGGGGCCCTGAGTTCTTTCCTACCCCATCTCTCGGGCTCCTCGTCCTGGCTGGGTCCCTAGCCCCTCTTTGCCCAGAAGAGGGTGTCCGCAGGGATGGGGTAGGGGTGGGGGAGCGTGGAGGAGATAAGGCAAACCTAAGATGCCCATCCTGGGGCGCCCCCAGGTGGCGCGTGGTGGGATCGTCGGCCGGAATCCCCTGTCCGAAGCTGCTCGCGGACTGAGTGGGAAACGTGCGATCCCTGGCCTTACAGGAGTCACCCGGCTCTTGCCGATGCTGCCTCTTCCACATCTTCGTCCGGACTCAGGGTCTCCAAGCGCGCATCATTCCCTAAACATTGTACCGGCCTCTCCCCACCCCACATTCCCTTGCAACTCCATCAGACACCAGCAAAAATAACTTTGCCTTGGGAGGCGACACACGTGGGTTCAAACCCCGGCTCTGCACCTTATTAGCCGTGGGCTCGGCACGTGACTGCTCCTCTCTGCACCTCCGTTCTCCCCTGTCATGTGGATTTTACAGGATCATCATGCTTGTAATGTAGATCGACTTTCCGCTAAAGGCTGTGATGGTGAATGGAAGAGACAGGGAGGAAGGGAGGAGGGCCCGGGAACTACAGGCTCTAAGGCATCTGGTCTCCACTAGTTCGGTGTGTGTGTGTGTGAGCGTGTGTGCACGCTCAGTCTTGTGTGACTTGGTATGTTGGGGTGCATTTGGGTGAATATGTGAGCATGCATGTGTGTGCAAGTATGTGAGTGTGTGTATGTAAGAGTCAAAATGTGTGTGATTGTGTGAGTACATGTGTGCTGTGTGTGAGATTGTGTGTGCATGCATCGGTGTGTGCATGTGTGTGTGGCTGTGTGTGGATGGGTGTGTTGGGAAGAGAGGAGAGGAGACTCTCACTCACCAAATGACTGTCACTGTCCACATCAGGCTGTGTTCATCGCAGGAGCTGCTGTCCAAACCTCCCTCCCTTCTGCTTGCAGCAGGCAGGACATTCTGGAGAAATAATGCCCTTGGAAGCAGCCCTGATGGAGGACTGGTGGGTGCATGTTCTCTGCTATCTCCCAGAGGGACTGAGCCCCAGGTGCCCACGGTGGGAACTTCCTTGATAAAACACCTTTTACCTGCTGCCTTCCCTTTTCTGTCTCATTTCCCCACTATCTTACTAGCATTTCCTGGAATCACCTCCCAAGGAAACAATTTACAGTTGATTTCTTTTCTCAGGGACACCTCCAAATAAAGTATTATCACTCGAATCCTTGCATCAGAGTTTACCTCCAGGGAACACAAACTAAGACACATACATGGGTTCACTTCTCTAATTCCTATAGACCTAGTCTTATGCCCTTTTTACCAAGAAGGAGATGAGGCTCAGAGAGGGCTAGTTGCTTGCCCAAGGTCACACAGCTGGAGAGTGGGCAAAGGTGGGCTTTGACTGGGCTTTCTGACCCCAAACCCAGTGCTTTCTCCCCTCCTGGGAGCCTTCTCCTTGCTAAGGGCTGTGGGAATGAACAGGGTGGGGCCTGTAAACAGCCAGTAAGGTCCCTGATGTGTGCACCAGAGGGACCCGAAGCTCATGCCTGGTGCCCATGTCCTCATTCTGTCATAAAATAAGAGAAATAATGGCAAACACCAGGCTTGGTGCTGACCTTGTGTCAGGGAATGTTGTTGTAAGCACTTTATTATTTATCTCCTCTCTCTCTCTCTCTCCAAATATTACCTGGGAAAAAGTTCCACTCGGCTTCTGCTCCCCAACCCCCAGCCCAGCAGTTTGGTGTGATGTCTTTTTAGTTTTAAAAAATTGTGTATACGAGCATTTTCAATGTATGTACAAACATTATGCACACATAACTATTTTTTGAGGACTCCAAATATATTGGGAAATATATCTGTTTGTGAACTTTTATTGTATAATGAACTCCCAGAAAGTTTAGTAGTTTAAAATGACCAACTTTAGTTTGCTTACAAACTTATAATTTGGATAGGGCTCCACTGGAGCAGCTGAAGATCCACTTCCAAGATAGCAATTTGGTAATGGCTATTGGCTGGGGGCCTCAGTTCCTCTCAGCGTAGTGCCTCTCCAGTGGGGTGGCTTGGGTTTCCTCTTAACATGGCAGCTGGGTCCAAGAGGGTGTATTCCAAGAGGACTTGAAGGAAGCTGCAAGGCTTCTTATGATCTAGACTCCCAAGTCCCCAAAGTCACTGAGGACAGATCAGGTTCAAGGAGAGGGGAATTAGACTTTACCTCTGTATCAGTCTGGCTTCTTCAGAGAAACAGAATGAACAGCATCTATCATCTATCTATCTATCTATCTATATCTATTTACATCTATCATCTATCCATCCTCTGTTTATACATATATATTTATCTTAAGATTTCTCTATGATATAAATCTTATCTGTAAATTTATGTCTTGAGATTTATATATTTATCTTAAGATATATAATACAGATATTTATTTTAAGGATTGGCTCATGCAATTCTGGGAGGGCTGTCAAGTCTGAAATCTGTAGGACAGCTTGAAACTCAGGCAGGAGTTCATGCTGCAGTCTTGAGGCAGAATTTCTTCTCTGGGAGACCTCAATTTTTGCTCTTAAGGCCTTCAAACTGATTGCATTAGGCCAATTTACATTTAAGTAAAGGAGTATAATTTACTCCTTTACTTAAAATCAACTGACTGTAGATGTTAACTATATCTACAAAACACTTTCTCAGCAACACCTAGGTAAGTGTTTAACTAAATAACTGGGTACTATAGTCTAGCGTAGTTGACAAACAAAAAAAATAATCATCACAATCTCTTAAGGAGAGGGGCAGCAAACAGTTTGCTGCTATCTTTAATCTACCACTTGGGGAGGAGAGGGGGACAAATGGTCTTTTTTCTCACTGTTGTGGCCTCTCCCGTTGCGGAACACAGGCTCCGGACGTGCAGGCTCAGCGGCCATGGCTCACGGGCCCAGCCGCTCCGCGGCATGTGGGATCTTCCCGGACCAGGGCACGAACCCGTGTCCCCTGCATCGGCAGGCGGACTCTCAACCACTGCGCCACCAGGGAAGCCCTAAATGGTCTTTTTTTTATAGCAGTATACTTCCCAATGGTCCGTTCTCCAAGCCTCCCTACTGTGGCTTGGGGTGGTCCTTGGTGGTCAGGCTAGTTTTCGTGAACAATCATCACCCAATAAACAGAGGGGGGCAGAGGAGTATGAAGATGAGGAGGAGGAAGGGGAGGAAGGAGACTATTAATGATTACATTGCCTACAATAATACACCCTAGTGGTTTTTCCTAGCTGTGTGTGTCCTCTGTACTTTTCCTTAGTTTCCTCCAGGCTTTCTGGCTCCCAAACCAGTTTGTTTGATCTGCCACCTGGGCCAGGAATCTGGCAACTCTGCCAGCTGTTCCTGCCTTCAATGTGGCCTCAGGGGCCTGTCTGTTGTTGATCTCAAACCTGCTTTGGGGCTGAGAGTTGGGTCAGATTTCATCAGCCACTATGGGTCTCCAGTATGGCTGGTTCCTGCTGCCCCCACCAGCCCTGATTATCTCAGCAGATTTAAGGACAGAAGTAAGAATGAACATGTTTAAGAACGAACATGTGTGCCCCACTCTGTGCTGGGTCTTTACAGTCCTGGCATGGCTTCAGGGGACAGTCTTTATTGATGACCCACTTTTCCCTGTCATTCAGGTTTCTGCTCAAAGGTAACCTCCTCAGGGAGGGCCTCCCAGATTGCCCCGTCCAGAGCAGCCTCCTTGGTCACTTTCTAGCATGTCTCACTCTGTTAATTTCCTTCATTACTACCACCATCTGATTTGGTCTTATTTCCTTTTGGCTTCCCTCATCAGACATGAGCACAACAATCCAGAGACCTTGTCTATCTTGTTTATCCCATGTCCTGAGTTCTAGCAGTGTGCCTGGTACAGAGTAGTTGGTCAAGCACAGTTTTGTTGCTGAGGAATGAACTACCTGGGTGGTATAAATCCACTTCTCCATTTACAGAGGAGGACATGAGGCTTAGAGAGGGCAATTGACTTGCCCAAGGTCACATAGCTAGTGAGTGGCAGCACTTGGATTTGAACTCAGTTCTGCTGAATCCAGAACTTGTTCCTTCCCAACAGCCGAGGAAGGAAAGGTGAAACTCCAGCCATCAGGCAGCCTGCATGCTTCTTCCAGAGAGACTCCAGGCTGACTCCTGGGAGGTGTGTCTTTACGGTGACACCAAATAAGAACTGCTCATCTGTTTTGTGTGCCAGCTATGTGCCCCTCACTGTGCCAAATCCTTATTTCTTTTTAAAATTGTGCTTTAGTGATAGAAGTTATAGCAGCTCAGTGTGGATGAAAAATGCATTAGAGACTCCAATTCTACTTCCTCCAATTCCACTGTGTTGTGTGGATTCTACTGGATTTTTTCAATGCATATACAAACATGTGCACGCATACACGTTTACAAGTTTTGTTTATAATTGAACCTCTACTCACATACCATTTTGAAAGGTACTTTCCCCTACTCTCTCTGCCTGTGTCTGGTAAGACTCTTGCAACTCTCTGTGAGGTTATTTATTTATTCTTTTGGCCACGCTGCATGGCATGCAGGATCTTAGTTCCCCAACCAGGGATTGAACCTGTGCCCCCTGCAGTGGGAGTATGGACTCTTAATCACTGGACCGCCAGGGAAGCCCCGATGTGAGGTTTTATCAGCCCATTTTACGGATGTGAAGAGTGAGGTTCAGAGGGGTGGTGGGCTGTGCCCAAGTCTGGTGACTCACAGTGACTGCCCCCGCCAGGCTGGCACAGATTTGCCCACTGCCTGGCTGTGGATGGGGGTAGAACAACCCCTGGAGAAGGGGCAGGGGGTGAGAGGCTCCCCTCCTTCCAACACTGGCTGGGGGGCATTCCATAAGCCAGGCTTGTGTGATTTGGCATTTGAGATGTTCCTTGTTTGATGAGAAACCATTGGGGACAGTCCAGCCTCCTCAGGCACAGAACAGAGTGTCCCCACCTGAGGCTTCCCGCCCCCCATGCTGTCTCCCTTTACCCTTCTACCATCTGATCCAGAAAGCTGGGAGACCCGGGTGATGGATCCTGCCCTCCGGTGGCCCCAGAGGCCTGCTGGGTTTTGAGTTCTTGGC